ACACTAATGTTGGGGATATCGTCTAGTGTCTTGAGGGTGTCCGTTGTCTTCACTTTCCCCTAGCGGTTGCTTCCCTAGTCGCTTTCTGGGGTTAGTTTGCCCGCGGAATTCATGCTTGTGAGCGAAGTGCATTTTGTGATGTCGGGGGTGTTGGTCGTCTCTTTGTGCTGACAAAATGGATCGTCCACCTGCAGAATTCATACCTGTTAGGGTGGTGTTGGCGAAGCGTGGCTGGTTGAGATTTTGGGCAGTCAGTTGCTGGTTCCTCAACTCAACCACGTTTTGTTGCACTGGTTGTGCAACCATTGTTCTGATCATCTTTACCAGCTGGTCATTCTCGGGGTTTGAAGTCTCTGCCCCCTGGTGGTTTGTGACGTGTTAAGTTTGTGGCACAGGCGGTCTGCATCCAACAACATCTTGTTACACTTTCTGGTGGGTGATTTTCGCATTTTCAAGGTTTCCGGTGGTGGTCTTTGACCTGGTGTGCACCATTTTGGGCCTGAATTGGGTTGGTTGCTGTGACTGTTCGCCGGAATACCTAAGATGTTGACGAGGCCCTTCCTTTAGTGCCAAAATGTTGATAAAAAAACTGCACCAACCAGCAAGATCTAATCGACCTTGCTGGGATCGAAACTAATGTGGGTGTGATTAAAGATTATCAGCGATGAAGGTATAAAGATGCAATAAAATAAAAGACAATAAGAGTTTTTAAAGTGGTTCGGCAAGGTAAAACTCTAAAGCGTACGTCTACTGTTTTGTATTTGCGGTGAGAGCTTACAATGTAAATTCTATGAAAATTTTGTAATCCCTTTTTCATAATTTGAGGGGGTTTATATACAAGATTTGCAGGAAGGAAAGAGCGAAAACAAAGGGATTATAATTGATCTAAAATGTAATTCTGATATTCTCGCGATTGGGTGTTGGGATTGCACAGAGATTGTTGTTGATCTAATCTTTTCCGCAATATCTGGGATCTGAAATAATCCGGGAATTGATGAAAGATTGCTCGGATTATTCGTGACTAGCTTCTGCTGGGTTAAGCTACAGCTCAATGAGCTTATGCTGGGTCGATCAAACATCGTTCCCGAGCTGGTTTTGGGTCGAGCTTTATCCTCACGATAGCCCAAGCTTGGCAGAAAAATCACACATAACAACAATGAAATTCAAAGACTCATAATGAGTGACTTTCTGATTGATAAAATTCGATTGAAACTTTGACGATTCACTGTAGTCAAATGTGACAATTGGTGATGTTCGTAAAAGTCATTCTAACCAGCTTTCTAAAATATTTTATAAAACATATTATTTTATAACTAGCTTTGGGTATTCTTTATTTATTTTTTTAAAATTTATTAACACTTCTTTATTGGTAACTTAAAAAATAAGTGATTGTTTTAAAGTAACAACAACCCCAAATTAGGCCTACAAAATTTTCCCAATTAGAATTGTCTATATCATATAAGAGAATTTATTCACTATTTATATTGTATAAAAGATTTTATATATGGAAAACTTGAGGGTTTAGGTGAAATATTTTTAACGTTAGGTAAGTTAGAGATAGTTGAATGAATAAGACCGAGTTGATAATGAGGTGGTGTGATGTCATGGGTCTAGACAAGACTTACGTCAGTCACGGAATTTTGTAATCACTTCACGCAATCATTCTTTCGTCCCATGACTTAAATCACCTTATCCATCAATCGCACCGGGGGAAAAAAAAAAAAAAAAAAAAAAACGGTTCGGGTCGGGTCGGATTTCATCACTATTATCTATTCAAGTTCCATTAAAATGTCCTGAGGAACGCTACCCTCTTTTTCACTCTTAAATCAGGGTTTAAGCTTTGTATGATCATAATTTTAAGAGTTTTAGAAAATAGTATGTTAATTGATGTGTATAATTGTCGTTTATTCTTAATTAGCTCACGCACCTTCCTATCTAAAATTGTTTATTCTCTTCTAATGATCTGTCAGTATTATTATTGGTACCACCAGGTCTAGCTTTGAGGATATGCTACTACTTCTCTACCGTTTAAAAACTATACTTAATAATGACTTGATTGTATATAAATGGTCGAGAAAGCGTAATCTTACTTCGGTATTTTGTAATTCATAGTCTATCTATATTGTAATTGAGGCATTAACTTATATTAACTTGATATATTTATTTATTGCTTCAGGATATATTTTGATCCAACAAATATTATCTATTATAGTATCACGATCGATCGAGGGAACGTTGCCCCTTCTCTACTCTTGAACCATTTCAAAAGTTGACTCGATTATAATTTAAAAGGTGAAAAACATTACATAATATATCTAACAATTTTCAGTCTTTTATCATAATTCACACGTCTTCTCAATTGGACTATTATTTTTCTCATTCATGATTTCAAATGAATTAATAATTTGATACATGTTTCAATCATAAATGAATATTCGTGGGACTACAATATTTGTGGTTCTTCTTTGTTGATTTATACATGTGAACACATTTGTGCTTGTTCTGTGTAGTAATTGAAAACAATTAAGTACTAAGTTCTCATATAAATTATGTATTAATGGAATATAAAATAAAATGAATGGAGGGGTGTATGAATAAAAAGGAAGAGAATACTTATATTAATTGCATGTTGTTTGAATTGACCAATAAGTTAAATACTTTTAGCTTAAACCTACGCAAAAAATGGATCACAAGGCAAAATTATTGGATATAAAAGATAAATCAAAGAAATTAAAATTGAAAGTGACAATATTTCATCGAATGATAACAACTTTTTGAATCGTCAATTTACTCTATTAATAAAACCATATTTATTTTTGTTTTATATTTTCAAAGTTAGCTAGATCATTAATAAAAATCCATTGTCCAGAGGCAAACCGATCGAAGGAGCAGAGCCAAGATCCCAATCTTGTGGTGGTCGGAATTTATTTTTGTGTTCAACTATACATACAAGTTTTTATGCTTTCTATAGTAAGTTTTACTATTACTCTTTAAATGTTTAGCCTCATACATTACAATTTTTAAGTTATATACTATACAATATTAAAGTCTAATGACAAACTTTTATAAAGAAACAAAATTAAAAATTGTAGTTGGAAAGATTTAAGAGACAAATTATCGAAACTGTTAAATTTTCTATAACTGCATTTGTAGTTTTAAATTAGCTTGCATGGTTAATTACCTTATAAATGACACAAACTAAATCTAAATTTAACTTCAATATTTTACTAATTAGGAGTTATGATTTTTATAAAAATAAAAAAATAAAAAATAAAAAAGTGCAAAAAATCAATTAATAAAACCTTAAAATGATAAAATAAGTAAGAATTTAAATTTATAATAAATGACATTAAGAATTTAAATCTAGATATATATCCATCTTGTGCTTAATTTTGGGGTGGTTAATAAGTAAATTCAATATATATTTTACAAATATATTAAAAGTATATAATCATCATAAAGAGTTCTTCTTCGGCCGGGGATGGCCATGGCCACTGAAGCCAAAGATAGCTCCGCCCCATGCCGCCGGAAGAATTTATATAAAATCAGTTTCGTTTTTACATTTCTATGTTAAAGTAGACTCATAATTAAAAAGTTATCAAGAAAGTAGTACACCACACAATTTAAAAACCTACCTTCAGTTTTTAATTACATCTACAACATCGATGACGACATTCAAGCATGGCCCATAAAAAAAATATCGGACGTCTTACTAGGGAATTAGTAGATTGAATGATAAAAAAATATCAACTAATAAAATAAATTAATGATAATTTAGCATTATCTTAACAAAATTAATATCAAAATATCACGATTACATTGATGATGTTTGATTTTGACACCAACGACTCACACGTGCAAAGTGTTAAGTAGACTTAAAAGTACACGTGATACGTAAAATATGAAACGAGAGAATAAAGGGAAGCGATTTTTAAAGTGGTTTGGATGTTAAAAGCGAATCCTACGTCCACTGTTATTGTATTAATAGATGGGTACAATCAGATCGCGGTGTGACAAGCTGAGTTACAATCAAAGAGAATATAGGGAGAGAGATAGAGAGAGTGTGTAGGTTGTTTTAGTTAAGATCAACTAATCCTGTAAATGAAAGACATATCCTCTATTTGTAGTGGGAGAGTTCAAGATATGATTACGAGTTTATAAGTGGTAGGTACCAGCAAGTCACTTACATCCCATTAATTATCTACACAATAAATATCCTTAAAATGCGTAGAGCTTGAAAAAGGATAATTTAGGGCCACTTGTAAACTTGACATTCATTTGCTACATTGACAAAAATCATACCCCTTACATCACTCCATCGCTTGAACGACATAAAACCTTCCTTAATTAAAACCTTCCTTAATTTGATTGACTCTTGCCAACGAGAGACTAATAGGAGCTGCCTTTAGTTAATATGTGCGAATGAAAGATAAGTGTCTCTTATTGCCAAATTTTATTTATTATTATTATTTTTTTAAAGCTTATAAGTTAGATGTCAAATAGATGCTTGTGATACATGTTAAATTTTTCGAATGTCCTCACTAGTATTTAATTTAAATATGTATAATATTTTTAAAACCTATCAATCCATAAATTCACAGAATATAGAAAATCCTAATCCCAATTGAAATTGAAAGAGGAGGAAGCCAATCAATTTTGGTTTATAATTAATTATCACGCAGCAACTTAAAATGAATGAACTCCACAATTCTTACACCATAAATGAAATCCACCAAGGTCAGCAGAAACGGCTGCCCTTCATTAACATTTCAACATCATAAATATGGCTGGCAAAACCAATTTCAAAAAAAATTTATGCCAACCAAGTATAAACATACAATCAAAATTCGACAAATTACACCAAATTTAAACCTAAATCTAAATAACCCAATAATCATATCTAATCTATCTATAAATAAATAAATAATACCCATATTCCTGAACTAATTACCCTTTAAAAACCATTCTTAATCACTAACAGGAGATAATGACATCAATCTTCAAAACGATGAATTCAGATCAATTTTCGCCTTCTTCACCGCACACGGAGACGGCACGGTGGCGTTGCAACGAGGACATCTGGGATTTGTTTTTAATGTGATTACATAAAGCAGGCAACCAGGGCAGCCTGCTGCAAACATTCCAGGACCTGAGAGAGATGATGAATTTAAGGGCCCTGGCGAAGGAGAGGAGAAGAATAAGGTCTTTTCTTTTCCAGGTTTCTTTTCGGCTCTTTGCAGAGCGGATTTGACCTTGTCGAGAGTGCAAACACTTTGGTAATGGTTTGAGGATTGCAGCTTCAAATCAGGCAAGTTTCTTCCAGGAAATGGTTGATTTGATGTGTTTGTTTCGGTGGTGATGTGTGAACATGGTGGTAATTCAAGTCTGGAAATCTGCATCTGGGTTTGTTTCCTGAGGATGATTCCTCTTGTTTTCGGAGTTTTCTGATGCTGAATGGATGATAATGGTGTGTTTGGTGACTTGCATCTCACTCGTTGTTCATTCTGCTGCACCATAAAATGCTTTATAATTTATTATCATATTAACCGATTCGAACATATGGTTGCCAAATAAGTTATAAACACAAACAAACAAACTACCTTTTAAACCAGATCCGATTCTGAGTTAGAAATCGGAGAGGCTCCGAGCAAGTCTTTGGTGATCAAAATTTCTGAGTTTGAGCTCCGTCTTGTCTGTGAGTCGGAGGAAGAAGAAGTAACATCTGCAGCCATTAATGAAGGCTTTGATTATCTTTTGCAGTATCAGAAATCTGAATTCGAAGCCAGGAAGCAAGAGTATTTATAGAGAGAGGAGAGAGAGAGGAGAGAGAGCTTGAATGTGAAGTAAATTAAGGTGGGGTTCGAGAAGTGTAAAGAATTATTATTACACCTTATTTGGACGCCGACGCTTCTCGATTCTACGTTTAAATGACAGTTTTACCCTCCATAAATTTATAATTACCTTATAATTTAATACATGAATATTTTTATTATTAATGGGAATGTACGGTTTAATGATGGAAGATAATTTAAGACACTTGTACCACCCTGATTCATCACATGTTCATTGAGCGATATGAATCCGAGAGCTATAAAAGGGATGAGTGATGGATTCAAAGAGATAAGTGAATATTTTAGGGAATATTATTATATCAAGTATTTCATAATATTAACTAAAGTGTTGACTTAAAGATAGAAGAGAAATTAATATGATAGTTATATCTAAATATATGATAATGAAAGATAAATAATTTAATTTACTTGATAACCTTAATTAATGAGTTAACAATAATATCTATAAATGGGTTTAGTTATGTATACACTTAATATCAGCCAATAAAGTTTTAAACCAGAAAAGATCTTTTATTGAATTAGTAAAATTATGTATATGAACTTAAAATCTAAAATCTCAATTTGATCATAACGACCTAACAATTATTTGGCACTATTTCACTAATCTTTTGAGATTCTAAAATAAATGATCGAATAAATCTTCTCAATAACCATTCTTATTAGTGTTTAAGAGAATTCAAACTCAAAAAATAACATTGGATGACCTGATTGTACTTTGTATATTAAATTCTTGATGTTGAAAATAAAAAGAGAAGTGAGGGGTAAAGAGGTCATTTTGGCGGAAAGGGTGAGAATAGACTAAGGGCCAAATGAAGATGATAATGGTTGGTGCATTAAAAGAGAGTTGGATTACTTGTTAAGGGATAAAGGAAATTGCAGCGTCATAATAAATGGGAGCATTCAATGGTTTTTGTTCCGGACTGTTCAAGATCAAGGCCATCAACCCATCCAACCTTCATTACCATTAAATTTTTAGCCCCATTTATATTACCTCATCCATCCTTAATTAATGTTCTATTTATTATTGCGCACAACATAATGATAGATTTAATTTATATTAAATTGGGGACTTTTTTAACTATAAATCCCTGTATTTGGTTTTTATTTAGCTATCATCCTTAGTTTAAAAAATATCCTTAACCCCTGTGTACTTGACTCTTTTACGAGGGGCATAAAGTTTTCCGGTTAAATTTGAAAGAAATGATATTTTTACTAAAATTTGTTAACAACTTAGAGGTAATATATTTTTTTGAAGGTTAAATTGATAAAATTATTAATAAATTTGAAGGTTGAATTATTAATATTTTGAACCCGGTGTTCATTACAAAAAAGGCTAAAAACATGAGATCTAGAGTTGCATTCCGAAACCAACAAGAGCTAGGGTACACGTCTGAAACCGAAAGGTGCTCATTAAAAAGTCAATCATATAGGGTTTACTATATATATAAAAAAATAAAAAATAAAAAGAACCCAAGTAAACTTGGAACTAAATTATGGTAAGAACAATAAAAGTTATTGAGTGTGGTTTGTTATGATTTTTTGAATAAAGGTTATTTTAGTAAGCTTTTTAAAAGAAAATTGTTAATTGTTTGTTAGAAAAATGTAAAAAATTTTTGTACTAAATCACCAAAAAGACTTTGATAACCAAAAAACTTATTATAGTATATGGATCTTTATAAAATTTCAACACTTAAAATGAGTCCAAAGGTGTTTATAACTTTAAATAGTTCTTTAATTAGTAATAAACCAGCGCACAATTTGAAAGAACGATTGTGGGTTTATTGCAATCAAACTATTTCTAGGCCTTAATTTTATTCATTTTTAAATAAATTTTAACAATTTTTTCTTTTGGTTTTTGTTTTGAATTCATGCTAAGTTTAAATAATTGGTTAAAATTTAATTATAATTATGAGAACAAAGGAGAGTAAAATACAACATGGGATTTATAGTTTATTAATTTAGAATCGTAATATATGTTGCCTCATTTATGCGTTAATTAACGTTGAATTATTATTGCATACAATATATGAGGTTTAATTAATATTAATTTTTTTAAACTAACCTAGAATTGATTAAAATATAAATGTAAATTAAAAGCCAACTAAAAATTTTCAATATTAAAAAAAGGTGTTCCATATTAGTGGTGCCCCTTTTTTTTTTTTTTTTTTTTTTTTTTTTTTTGAAGTGTGGACGTTCGCATTAAAAATGATTGTTAATTGTGATTAAAAATAAGATAAACTCTATACTTGAATGAGACATTAATATCAATCTAGAGCAATATCCGAAAGTAATTTGAAGATGGTGATTTTAATTTCTCTTCGTCAATGAATCTTGCTATTAATTAATTTAAAGAAAATTAAGTTTATAGAACTCAACCCATAAATTTAAATTTTTTATAATATTTAATAACATAAATACAGTGTAATCCAAAGACTAAGAGTTTGGTGAGATGGCAATAAAAATAATATATATTCAATATATTAATTCTCTTATTTCATTTGATAAATTTAAATGTCTGTTTATTAAAAAAAAAAAAGTTATTAAATAATAAAGAATCCGTTTATTAATATAAATGAAACATATATTTTATTTTTCGTGTGCCGAAATAAAAAAAAAAAAAAAAATTACTCTTGGATGGTACTATCTCTTCATAATCATAAATTTCATTTAGGTTGACACTATGATTGATATTCTTGGTCCACGTGCAGATTATTTTTTTTATTTTATTATTAGAGGTTTCAGATCAGTTTACGAATATCTCAATTAATTCTCGAGACCCTAAAACTAATCAGTCGGATAAGAGTCTCAGAAACCACTCTATTAGTATACAAGATAAACTCAAACTAAGAGTTTATGAAACCTAGTTTATTTGTGGCTCATAATATATTTATTTTAATTTATTGAAAGTACAAAATTATTGTTGAATCTCAATTAATTGGGTTGCTTACTTGCCTATTAAGGCTTAGATTGAAGAAAAAAAAAATATTTATTTTTGAATTATATAATGTGATATTAAATGGATTTCATTTAATTTGTTTTAAGAGCATCCATAACACACGGTAGGGTATTTACTGTTTAGTCAAGTACATGGCATTTCATAATGATCTTATTGTCACCTTCCTACTGCTTTTTAGATGGGGTTCTCTACAATAATGTGGATCACGACCATTTCTATAAATGATCGGATTAATGACTTATACAATATTTGAATTCTTGATGTAGATGTTAGAATTGATATTTAGGGTTTGTTAATATTCGAAGCATTTATGAGATTAAGATCCCTCTAAGAGACAAAAAAAATCTTCCTCAATCGGATATTTATACAATCAGAATTATGAGGTGAAATGAATTCTCACTGTACTGATGTAACACTTCATAGTTTGATGTTCTATCAATATCGTTGTACGGAAGATCATCTTATGGCCGTTGAAACAGATCATTTGATCATTTTATTCTTAATCTCTTAATGACCATTGCATGGGTGAAGCAAGAACCTAAAAGTTAAAGTAAACGCGTTATTTTACTTATTTTGAATTCTTATTCAAGTGTTAAGTAAGTATGATCTGATCTTTCAACTAATACTGAGCTTACTTAAATAACCTAACTTAATTCAGTATTTTGACTACATTATACTATTATCGAGGTTAAGATAATGGCTTAAAGCAACCCCCTCTAATACGTTATAGGGGTCAATTAGTACTTTCTTACATATTTTCATATATATATATATATATATATATATCAAAACCAATTTATTGATGTTCGTATGTTAATTATAAAGAATTAATTAACACAACAATATTGAAGTCTTCTAACTGGAGAATTATTTACAATACGAACATTCTGACTAATGAATTAATACGTACAAGGATGGAAATACGTAGTCAATTTTGTATTGAAATTGATATGAAATTGGCTTGTAAATGAATGCATAAGAGAGTCAAAAGAAGTGGTCCTTGTGTTTTAATATATGGACTCAACAAAACTTATAAAGAAGGGTTTCTTATTGGTTGAAGATATTAGTACTAAAGAACAACTTTTGCTCTAAACCCAAATATTTTTATAAGTTGACATTAAAAGGGTATATGAACATCCATTTCAATACTTGGTAACACATAAATAGTTATAAAATCATAGTTGACTATATTACCCTTGATAAAAAAATTAAAAAACAATAAATAGAATACGTTTTTCCTTTATAATTAAATATAAGGCATGTAAAACCAGTCCGTCCGGAATGAAATTTGTAATATTGGCAGTGTTTGATTAATCGATCATTTAATGATCGACGTTAAGATGATCTATTTATTGAACTAGTTTCATTCACTTAGGTCCAACATTTTAATTAAGGAAGTCTAATTGAAAATTTTTATCGTATTTTATATTATAAGATATAAAATTTTCTATAGACTTGTTCTCTCTATAGAAAAATAACAAACCATTTAGAGAAAATAAACTTAAATCTGATATGGGTTATTTATTTCAAGATCATTTAGAAAATGCTATAATAAACCTTTATTTTAAAAAATTAATTATTTTTCATGAGAAAAAATAAAATTGTAACAGTCTTTTGGACAGGTTTGGTCCACCTTGTACCTTATGAGTTTTTGGCGGGCCTCAAGATTCTGTAGATTATTAAAATCCATTGATAATCATTTTGTTCTGATGATAGGGTTAGAGAGTTTGGTCCAAATATCTGCATGATTAGATTATATTAAGAATGACCCATCATGGTGCAGGCCCAGTAATGTCACCGGGCCATCTAAATGATTGGGTTTCATCGTTTCGGTATGACCAATTGGTGTAAGTGTTGTTGACCACATTCAATAATTTTTATCGATATGTAATGTTACCGTGTTATAGAATAAGCTTTTTATTTA